TTTGTTTATTTACGTATAAACCGAGTGAGGAATGTGCGTCGCCGTTGAAGAAAATTGCCGAAAATGTGTGAACAAAATCTTGAGCTCTACTTTGTTCGTATACAGATATGTATGTATGTATATATGTACTCAAAAATATTTAAATATTCTTCCGGAGGCCCTTTCAAGTATTTTCCGAAAAACTCCTCTTGGTTTTTTTTACTCATATAACACATATGTATGTATGTACGTATGTACTTTTGTCGGTTGTGACTAGTACCGTAGCAATCAAACGTCTTAAATTCAAATGCCATAGAAAATTATGCAAAATACTTGTAGTTGTTTTACATCTGTACAAGGTATGTCCCCACAAAAACGAGACATATTCTCTATTGAGGTGTTGGTACAGTTTTTTTTTTTTTTCAAAAAAAAAAGTTAGTTTATACATAAAATATTTTTCGAAAAATAAGGAAATGTTCACTTTTGTTCGACTTTTACTGAAAACTTCATTGCGATACAATGCGGCAATGGAGTTGAGGAAGAACGGCTGGATTGCTACTGTTGATAAGAAATATTTTTTTTAAAAGTGATTACTCAATCAAATTTCAAAGAAAATATATGAACAAATATTCTTTTGGCTCTGTTGGAGGGACCTTTATTTTATATTATTTGATTTTATTTTACTTTACTTATATTTGACTTTATTTTATTTTATTTTTTAATATACTTTTTTATTGTATTGTATTTTATTTTATTTTATTATCTATATAATTTTATTTTCTTAGATTTTATTTTATATTATTTTATTTTATTTTAATTTAATATTTTCTATTTTATTTCATTTCACTTAAATTTATTTTATTTACTTTTTTAGTTTACTATATTTCATATTATTTTAGTTTTATTTGCTTTACTTTAATTAATTTTATAATTTTTTTTTTTTGGATCTAATTGTATTTTTTTTAATAAATTTATTTTTTAATTCAATTTTATTTTATTTTCTTTTACTTTATTTCACCTTAATTTATTTTACTTTTTTTATTAATTTTTATTTTACTCTATTTCATTTTATTTTACTTTTTTGTTTTAATTTATTTAATTTTTTTCTTTGGGTTTGTATTAAATTTTATTTCGTTTTAATATAATTTTTTTTGTTTTATTTTATTTTACTTTATTTTAGTTCAATTTGCTCTACTTTAATTTATTTTATTTTGTTGTATTTAATATTTTTTTTTAATTTAAGTTTTAAATTTTGTTTTATTGTATTTTTAATATTTAATATTATTTTATGTTACTTTAACTTATTTTATTTTATTTTATTTTAAATTATTTAATTATATTTCAACAATAATTTTATTTTACCATATTTTTTTTACTCTATTTTATATGTTTTTATTTTGAATTATTTGAATTTTTTGTGTTTGTTTGCACTTTTTTCTATTTTATTTTACTTTATGTTATTTTATTTTGCTTTATTTTATTTTATTTTTAGTTGACTTTATTTTAGCTTATATTATTCTTTTGTGTTTTATTACTTTATTTGTTTACGTTTTTATTTATTTTATTTGTGATTGAGTTTTCAAAAAAAATATATAAACAATTTTTCTTTTATCCCGGTTTCTGTTGGAAAGACCTTTCGTGTGTAAGTTTCAATGCTTTCATACGTATCTGCATATGTATATATTTACATATGTATGTATACATCAACAGTCACAAACAAACCGATTGTCGATATTTCAACTAACGGCTTAACTGGACAACTGATTTATGAACTTCTTATCTCGGAAATCGGTAACAATAACAGCACAAGAGGTGTATACAAAAGTACTCGTACGAGTATATAAAAATGTACATATACCTCTGTATACAAACATATAATTTACGACTTGTGCTCGAACAGCTTTATAATGTACTCATGCGGAAAGCCTAATAGAGAAATTAAATTATTAGAGTATGCATGTATGTAGTGTACATAGGTGTTTGGGTACTACTTAGGTTAACAATTAAACAGGCTTATATTTATAAACCATTCACAAGTTATAGAGTAATTTTCGGGTCTATTGAACAAATTGAATGACGGAGTGAAATATGGAATAATTAAATGCGGAGACTGAATGTGTTGCAAACGAATCATAGTTTTTCATAAAGGGTTGGAAAGGATTTGAAATAGTCGTTGTTGTTGTTGTAGCGGTTCACCAACCTCACTAAGGAAGAGGCGAGACCAGTTTAGGAAACGATCTGTTTCGGTTAGTGGATACCAGAGTAAGAGAGGGGCAAGATAAGAAGATTTTAAAGGGCATGCAAAGAGGTTACAAGTGCCGTGAGGGGTCTCGTTGCATGGAGTACATACGTTGGTCAAGTGTACAGAGGTGTAAGTCTAAAGATAAGTAGAAATCAGTCGACTACAATATCCAGATCATAATTATGCTAATATTACTCTAGGCAGCTCGAGCTCTAATTTTTTTATTGTATTTTGTTTAGTTTTATTTAATTTAATTTTATCCTATTTATGAAGTTTTTTTCATTTAAAGTTATATAATTTAATTTTATTTTATTTCATTTTAGTTTTGTTTCTTTTAGTTTTTTAATTTCTTTTCTTTATTTTATATTATTGTATTTTATTTTATTTTATTCTTTTTTATTTTATATTATATATTTTATTGTTTTATTTTATTTAATTGATTTTGTTTATTTAATTTTTTTTTATTTTTCTGCGTTCCATTCATTTTATTTTATTTTATTTATTTTTTATTTTATTTTACTTCATTTTAGTTTTATTTCTTTTATTTGTTAACTCCTTTTGTTCTATTTTAATTAGTTCTTTAATCTTTTATTTAATTCTATTTTATTTTATTTTTATTTTACTTTATTTTGTTTGTTTTTATTTCATTTTAATTTATATATTTTATTTTAATTTATTTAATTAATTTTGTTTATTAATTTTTTTATTTTTATTTATTTTGCCTTGTTTAATTTAATTTAATGTCATACTATTTGCTTTTATTTCATTTTATAAAGTTTTATTTTATTTATTTAAATTAATTTTATTTATTTTATTTCATTTTAGTTTTACTTCTTTTATTTTTGAATTTCGATATTATTTGATATTATTTTATTTTATTTTTTTCTATATTATTTAATTTTTGTTTTATTTTATTTTGTTTTATTTATTTTATTTTACTTTTATTTATTTTTAAGTTTTTTTTTTATTAATTTTAATTTCTTTTATTTTTTTTAATTGTTTAATTTTATTTTATTTTATTTTATATCATTTTGTTTTATTTTATTTAAAGTTTTTATGTTAATTTAATTTAATTTAATATTATTCAATTAATTTTTATTTTATTTTTGTATGGGCTAATTTGTTTTTATTTTATTTTATTGAGGTTTATTTTATTTTAAGTTATATAATTTGATCTTATTTTATCACATTGTTTGAAATTTTTATTTTTCTGCATTCCATTCAATTTAACTTAATTTAATTTTTTTTTATTTTTTATTTTATTTCATTTTGTATCATTGATTTTTTTTATTTTCAGTTATTTTATTTTGTTTTATTACATTTTTATTTCCTTTTTTGATTTATTTTATTTTTTTTTTACTTTGTTTTATTTGTTTTACTTTTATATATTATATTATATATTATTTTATTTCTATTTACTCTGTTTTAAATTATTTTTGTTTTAGTTTGTGTTATTTTATTTTATATTTAATCGCTCTATTTTATTTCATTTTGTTTATTTTAGTTAATTTTGTTTATTTTATTTAATTTAATTTTATTTTTCTCATTTTATTTGATTTAATTTTTATTTATTTTAGTTTTTTTATTTTGTTTTATTATTTTAGTATTTTTTTCATTCTATTTCATTTTTATTTAATTATATTTTTTATATTATTATATTTTATTTCATTTTGTTTATTTTAGTTATTTTATTTTATTTTATTTTATTTTATTTTATTTTATTTTATTTTATTTTATTTTATTTTATTTTATTTTATTTTATTTAATTTTTTTTTACTTTATTTTATTTTACTTAATATTATTTCATTTTAGGTTTTTTTATTTTGTGTTATTGTTTTGGTATTTTTTTATTCTATTTCATTTTTATTTAATTCTATTTTTTATGGTATTTTATTTTATTTCATTTTTAATTATTTTCCATTATTTTTTTAATTTTTTTTCCTTTAATTTAATTGTATTTTCCAGAATATATTGTATGTATATGTACATATACAAATACATTCACATATACAGTCATCATGTATAACCCATAAGTGTATATTACGTTATTTTAATTTTATAACCACTGTGAGCTTGAACATATGTTCATGTTCATGTGAAATATTATAAAAAATTGTTAATGTTTAAGTGTATATACGAAAAATTAATGCTGTTCACCATGAGTGATTTATGTTGGTCTTCAACAGTAATGCATATTTTTGTAATTCTTGCGATGCTACAATGTTTAAATTATTATTGATTTTTTCATTTATATTGCCATATAAATCCCTTTCTTCTTTTTTTAGTGACTCACAGCTAATTTATCACATTTTAATAAGGCTGAATTGCGCTAGTATTAATCCATCACTCAGCTCTCTTTTCTCTCATTATCCTTTGCATCATTAATTTGTTGTTTTTGTTTATATTTTCAAACAAAATTACACACATTAAATGGTGCACAAATTATTTCCCCATGTGTAGATATGCATACGTGTATGTATGTATATACTCGTTTGTATATATATGTAAAACCAATGCGCTTTACATAGTGTGCTTGGCATTGAACGCATTTGCTGCAGTAAATTCAATTGCATTTATAATTTCATTATGTGGACTAAAATGGAATTTTTATCATCATTAACAAACATAAGTCGATCCCACTTCGACTCCAGGCAAAAAAAATTGATTTATGGCTATAAACCAGTAAGGCTCTCCCAGCGCGAACCCTTTATTCCTCATTTTACCGGAACTCACAAATATCTTTCCGTACTAAACAACCGAGAGAAACAGTTGTCACATGTACGATCTCACCCGAACTTAGTTATCTCTTGATTATTTTAATAAAAACATTCACTTTATTGCAATAATTTGTACAAGTGTTTCTTTTGCTTCCAGGTGTAGTTCGAAAAAAGACATTTAGATCTTGCCAATTCACGACGATTATGCAATGGCGGCCATAAGGTGGTGTAGCTCAGATGCCTGAAAGCAGAAGCAGAGAGTAATGTGATGGCCATGGACAAAAGGTTATGTGAGTTTAATTTTACCTGTGCAAACTCACAACCTCGTAAGCGGTCGGCTGCGCTTCCAGAAGTCGGGAAATTTCATATTGAAATTGCTTTTCATATTTACGCGCGGATTCCTTGTAGCTTAACAAGCTATTACTAAACAATATAAATAATATAATTAAGGCTTAAATCTGTTTATTTTGCATATACACATACTTACATATACACATGTATTTACATATGTGAATAAGTGTACATTGAAAAATCTTACTTGTGGAATGCCATTGTGAAACTCGGCTCCCGACTCAGCAAATCCTTCGCATCCGCCTTGTCATGGTTATGTGTGCAGCGCATATCCACATCATCGTTTAACTGATATATCTCTCCTTCAAGCGATTTATGTGGTGATCGACTGGCTATAACTAATGAGGGCTGAAAGAGACCACTGGATTTTCGGCTAATATTTTCATCCGCATCTTGATATGATACACGCGGGCTCACTTCATTCAAAGCCAAACTCAATACTGTTCTTCTGGTAGACTTTCGATGAGGCTGAAAGAAAGGCATGCGCAAGGAATTTAGTTGATTTTGAGATATGCCGCAAAGGAAATTTTTCAGCAAAAAATAAAATAAAATAAACAAATACAAAAAACTGTTAAAAAATATTGAATTGTTTATATCAAATGCGAAAGATTATTGAAATCTCAGGGGTTGCTACATAACCAATTAAATGGAATAAAAAATGTTTTATAGTAGAGCGGAATATAGATTACAAACAAACAAAACTCGGATTATACCTTAATCTCCTTTCACCAGAACTCATAACAACGAGGTCTCGCAGCGTTCTCTCTCTCTCTTTCGTTGATAGAGCTTTAAAAACTGAAAAGTTTGCGTCCATGCGGACTTAAAGGCCTTGCCTTGTCGTTGTTTGCTACAGCGCTTCACCTAAGCTTATTAAATTGTCCAGGCGCTGCCTATGTATATTCCCAGGTCTTATACACTTACATTCTTGTTCGTAAAGAGATAAGATGGGTGCTGATAAGAGTGATGCCGAGTTGGATCTCTTAGTACAAATTATTATCGGTGTTTACTTTAGTTCCAAGTATAACTCTGTACCGAAGACATATCGACCGCTCAGTCTGATATCTGTTTTTTGCTGTAAAGTATGGAAAGGGTCTGTGACGATTGAATCAAACAACAAATACCGCCAGAGCGGTTGCCATTCCGGCAGCGCACATACATCAAAAATAAATCAGTGGATAGCGCTTTACATGAAGTGGGCAGCACAATTAATAAATCCAAAGACCAAAATACTCTTGCGGTGTTTATTGACGGCGAGGTTGCCATTGACATTGCAAGCAATTAGTGTGTTCGACGGGCTGCTGGATTTTCTTCTCGGAGTCAAACCACCACCGATTGCAGACGAATAGCTCGCACTGCCTCAAGAGTCGCAGGTAATACTGGCTCAATTTAGATCTGGATATTATAGCAGATTAAATTACTATTCATCCAGACTTGACCCTGACATACCAAACGTATGTTCCCCACATGACATTAAACACTTCTTTGCATACCCCCCAAAAATTAATTCTTCTAACCTCCCTTTCCCTTTGCTCCGAACCAGTGGAAATAACTCGATTGATATTGCCAGTGCCTGAGCGAAATTGATAAATCGCTACTGCAGCAACAATAATTGTACCTGAATTTTACTGAGCTCCGACACAAAAACTCAGTGGTTTTTGACATTTCTTTACTGCCTAACTCTTACCGATATTTCCAACCGAACAGAGAGATCACTTAAAATCGCAGCCGGTTGACCTGAGATAGCCCCTGCGGGTTAGGGGTTTAAGAATTTACTCGTGGTAAGATATGCCTGTCGTAAGAGGCGACTAAAATCCAGCAGTTCCCGCCTATCGGAGCGACCCGGATTTTTTGTCTGGTCAAGGACTGTCACTCTCGCAATATTCCTCAAAAGTGCTTTGGGGAATATTTTTGCGGTTACAACAACAACAGTGTTCGTTGTATCTTAGTAAGCCCGGAATATGATAGATTTGCTACTTTAGGAAAAAGACGAAAGTTCATCAATACATACCACCATCTTTAAGATAAATAAACTTAACTAGAAGGAAGATGTTGAAAGCTGGGTAACTCAAGCGCTCCAAATTACGGAGCACTAGTGGAGAGGGCGGGATTAAAAAAGAAGTGCCGTACTACATCTTTCGAACAGGTGCAACGGATCTGAGGACTGTCTGAAACAAGGTCTTAAAAGTCGTCCATGACATTAGGCGAATTAACATACAAATGAAGTGTGAATCAGCGCAAAAATATTCTAGTCTTCAAATTATGAAGGATATGACAAAGTTTAGATGATTATATCAGAACTCACGATTAACGTAAAATGGAAGCGAGAAACAGAATGCTTCCGCCGGCTAGATACACACACGATGACGATACGCTGAGGCACTGCTCTTGTAAGTCTATTATATTAAGCCGATTGAGACTTTATACCCTTTCCGATGCTCCCAGCTCCAACCTTACTGAGGTAGGCTGGTAGGGTTAGGACTATGTACTTCCATTTCGAAAGTCAGAGTTCCGGTGGTTTAACCAACATCCAAATAAAAATGTTTTATTGCGGTCGCCCCTCAGCAGAAAATGTCAAGCCTTCCAAGTGTATATTTCTGGTGCCTAAAAAAATTTTCTGAAATCATTCTTGTCACCTCCCAAAAAATACTTTACTGTCTCTAATCCAAAAGTTGCATAAAATATTTAAACTTTCCTCAACCCTCAGCCATTAGTCCGCAAGTGAACACAATTTCCCAAGAGCAAACCGCTTAATTAATATTTTCACAATTTCAATAAACTCAATTAAGGCTGGACACTGCCGAACGACGATGGCAAAGACATGCAATAATCAATAAACAATGGTATATAGAAACTAATGTCTACAATAGTAACAACAATTAATTTTTTCCCTCCCAAGTCTCTTAAGTATAATCACAATAACTTGTGTAATCCTTTGCTAACGCAACCCATCGCCGACCTTTATTGCGCCTGTCCTTTGTCTAATAATTTGTGGCAGCACGTTTTGTTCATTATTGTTTTTATTGTTGCATATTGTTAGTTTATTGCCAATTTTCGGCTATTAAAATGATAAATTTGTTTGCTAAAATTAGTTATATGGCTAATAGCGCCTAAAAGCACACCACGGCCGTTGTTAGAGGTTTATCTAAAGTGCATTTTACTAAAGATATATATAAATAAAACATAATATAAGGATGTAAAACGGTAAATAGAATGTATTTAATGTACATTTTACAAACATCAATAAATATTTTGGATAAAATAAAGAAACCTGAGAATTTTTATAAAAAAATTTCTACATTGAAAAATAAGTGAAACCAGGTCACTCTCTAACTGATCCTTCCATCGTAGTGACGATCCCAGTCTTCCACTGCTTCCTTCAGCGGATACTGCATCGTATGCATTCAAAACCGGAGCACCTTCATCCATTACGGACGCATTCGCTGAGTTATGTCAACGATGCTCATCGTTCCATCGTCTGCATTATTCGCCACTGCCAATTTGGAAAGGTCCATAAGTCTTTCTCAAAACCTTTGCCTCGACGTCTCTCAAAGCTGACTCATCAGATTTCGACATCGTCCGTACATCCACAGGACGGGTATGATAAGCGAGTTGTAGAGTCTATATTTTATACTTCGAGAGAGGGCTTTACTTATCCAAAGTAGCCACTGTTGGCAAGAGTGATTCCGTGTAGGATTACCAGGCTGACATTATTATTGGAGTTAATGCTTGTTTCTAGCTAGAACAGATTATCTCGGAGTTATGACTGTCAATAGTGAGATGGAAGCCGAGTCACGAATGGGATGACTGTTTGTTCGAGATTAATATCTTCTAATCTTGTCCTCGTCTATTCTTACCAAGTTTGTAGTTGTTCAAGCCAATTATGATATGGGCCTTTCACACAATATGCTCGGTTGGGTCTCATATGTCTCATATTAAAGCCACTTAACCCACGGTAATATATGCAGACTGTGGGGTCCCCTTTTTATGGATTGGTCAAAGCACACTTTAACTCGAATTGTCGGGCACGCCTTCGTCCTACTTTTTTTGCAACTGAGTTGATGCATGCACCTTTGCCGTAAGGTACGAACTGCTCAGCCGGTTTTTTAAACGGGCAATCGCTTTTCGAACCTCATCATCCATCGACAGCGATTGGGGGTTTGGGTTCGCAAACTCCTGGTAGTATATATCGACCGCTTTTGCAGACTTGAGATTTCAGGCGATATATCCGTCACAGAAGCGACTAGGAGCGTAAATTTTAGTATTCCCCACACGTATACGAATAAACCTTGACACCATAACCTCTATATAATCAATTTGTTCGGATATGAGAATCAAGACCTTATCTATTCATTCATTGTGGGCTTTGAAGAGCATGTTTTCCGTTGTTGGATTGTCGACAGTAGAGTTCGTAGTTTATCATATCGCCAGGCTGGTCATATTGGACAACTCCCTTCCGACTCCACCATATTATACTCAGTGTTGCCTTGTTTGCCGTCAATTCATGTTTGTGGAAAATCACCGACCTTTCACCGTGATTTTTTTTCGGCGGCCGCAATACCCGAGTGATTAATTAAATTTTCTATCAATTGGCAAGGAATATCAAGCTCTCCGAGTGCTTTTCGGAGCAACTCAATATAAACTTTTGGTCTCTCCATTTGTTGGGAAAACTTGAAGGCGCATACCACAAACTGTAGAAGAAGCTCGGCCGAAAATGGAAAACAAAGCGCTATTTATATATATAATAAATAAATAAATAATAAATAAATAAATAATAAATAAATAAATAATTAAATAATAAATAAATAAATAAAAAGGTTTCAATTTCAAGTTGGTCTCCCACCTCAAGCCGACGTTGCCTTTAATAAACAAAAGCTATTGAATACCGTAATCAAGCACTTCTTTCGTTAAACTCAAGTTTCCTGTTAAGAAATTGTTTTTGATTAATTTCCCATTCCCACTTAAAGCTATTCAGAAGTAGAATTAGAGTAGAAAATCTTTGTAAAATAAAATAAAAAATTCTTTCTCTTCATTAGTACCGCTAAATTAGTTTTTAAAGAATTCCAATATTACGAATCTCATTATAGTGTATATGTATGTAGATATTCATGATAACGACGGCTGTGGAAGAGAATTCGTGTTGCATAGTTGAAATGCACTTGTCTCCCTCACTCAACGCATCCCAAGTGGCACTGAAGTATGTGGTAATTACTCAGCTCGACATAATAATTACATACATACGTACGCATTCTTACTAGTGCGGGAGTCGACAAAATAAAAAGAGAGAGGGGTAAACAATTTATTTCGAACCACACGCGCTTTAACTGTAGAGAGATAGCGAAGGAAAGCCTTGACCTTTTCTAGACCTACTACAACCTACTATACCTACAATATAATATTACTTATTTTAATTGAAAATTATATAGAGCTCAGAAGTAATGAGAAGATATCCGGATTCGCGTTGAGGAGCTCAGGCTCTTGTCATATGGATGAAGCTCTTGCATGCGGTGCACGGGTTGACATGATAAAAACAATCTGAAGTCTTTTTCCTCACAATTCAGAGTGTTTTCTGTGCGAAACCGATCATCCTGGGTGGGACTGGTAA